TGGGAGGGTCGTAGGGACCGCCGACCAATCTGGAGGAGGAGGAGGCGGACCCCATGTTGCCGCCTGACCAATCACGGGCGGGAGTCAAGAGGCCCGCCGGTGTCTTGGACCTTTCTGGAGGACTTGCGGCCCTGGCACCCGATTGGAGACGCAAGACGGGTAGTGGGAAAGGCTTGGCTGTTAATGGTCCACACGGAGGGGGAGGAGGAGGGGCCCAGGAAAAGTAGCCAATTGGAGTAGGAGGGTAAGAAGGGGCGGAGCCCGTCTCGGAGCGGGTTCCCAGGTTCTCCCAGGCGGCCCGCGCCCCGTTTCCTCGCCTGCGGGGAAATTCTCGGGTTTAGTCCCGGGGCAGCTTCAGGTAACTGCTTCCGCCATGGGTGTTCTTAGAATAGCCTGTTTGACATTCTCTCACCATTATTCAGTATACATTAACACATTTCTTTCTGTTTTTTCCCGTCTGCCAACTTTTTTTTTCCCATATTTTTTGGATTTTATTTTTCAATCCCAGTTTACATTCAATGTTATTTTGTATTAGCTTCAGGTGTACGGTATAGTGGTTAGACAATTACATAGGTTACACTATATTAACACATTTCTTTTTTTTCCCCGTCTGCCAACATTTTTCTCATACTTTTAAATTTTCTTTTTTTAATTCTCACCTGAGGATATTTTTCCCCCCTTTTTTTTTTCAGAGAGAGTAGAAGGGAGGGAGAGAGAGAAACATGATGGGAGAGACATCCGCTGGCCGCCTCCAGCAGGTGCCCCACCCGGGTGGGAGCGAACCCGCAGCCCCGGGGGGGCCCCTGCGGGGAGTGAACGCGCCGCCGGCCACCCGCACTGAAGGCGCGGGCGCGCTAACCACTGAGCGCACGTGGCTAAAACTGAGCATTTTATTTTTCGGTTACAGTTGACATTCAATATTATGTTGTATTCGTTTCAGGTGTACTAATTAGTGGCTAGGCAGCCACATTACACTACACCAACACATTTCTTAGTAATCATTGGAAAGTCACCTTGCCCTTCACGCGGTCCCCATCAGTGTTTTCTGTTCAATTGCCTTTAAAGAGCACTTCCTTGAGAGTCAGGAAACCTGGTCTCCTTCCAACTCTGCCAATAACGGGAAGCTAAACCTTGACTATTTAACAACTTCAGGAGCCACGTTCTTTAAAACGGAGTTAATGCTTCCTGCTTCATAGGCTCATTGCAAGAATTATTTTAATAAAGCACGGTGCACCTGTCATAATACCTGGCCCATACTAGGAGCATAATAAATCCCGTATTATTTTCTCACCCCTTCCTACAGGGGTTGGAAAGAAAGGAAATGGGTGTATATTATAGCAAGAGACTTTTGGATACCCATAAAGAATTTAGTGTCGAAGTGTGGAGTCAAGTCAGGCTGGGTTTGAATCCTGGCTGCACCACTTACTAGCAGAGTGACCTTTATATGTCTTCGTCTGTTCAGAGGGGATAAGAGTTGTCCTGAGGATTTAATGAGTTAATATATGTAGTGTATTTTGTACAGGACCTGGCAATTAGTAAACATTATTAAGTGTTGGTTATTATTAATTGCTGGATGCGCCTATGTGGATCCCTACATTCTCACCCCCCTCCCCCCCAGAAGCTTTAGAAAGCGGGTCTGACAAGTTAGCAGTTTTGCATGATTTAGGAGCTAAACAATCTAACAGCAGGTGGGCAGACACATACCCTCTTTGAACCAACAAACAACACGATCCCAAAGAATCTAAGTTTTCTATAGCTGTATGAAGCTAAAAAAGAAGCATATTGTTCATGCCTCACATTCCAGTGAGAGACAAGATGTACACACAGTAAACAACAATAAAAGGTCAACTGGAGGCTGGAGAGATTAGGCAACAGGAGTTCCGAAGAGGAAGGCAGGATGACAGTGATGGATCTAGACTTACTATATAAGAAGCTTTTGTGCCTGGCCAGTGTGGATCAGTGGTTGAGCGTCGACCCATGAACCATGAACCAGGAGTTCTCGGTTCAAATACAGGTCAGGGCGCATGCCCGGCGGGGTTGCAGGCCTGATCCCCAGTGGGGGGTGTGCAGGAGACAGCAATCAATGACTCTCTCTCATCATTGATGTTTCTGTCTCTCCCTCTCCCTTTCTTTCTCTGAAATTAATAAAAACATGTTTAAAAAAAAGTTCTAAAAAAGCTTTCAGGGCAAGACTCTGCTTGGAAACAAGGTTAAGGGATTTTAATTGACATTTAGGTATTGGGCTGAGTGAATTTGGAGAAGGCTTGAGAGGAAGATGTGGGATGAGCTTAAGCCTGAAGGATGATCAGGATTTAGAAAGTTAGGAATGAGAAAGAAGGGCAGGATGTTCCTGGCAGAGGGAACCTGCAGAAGCTCGGTGTAGAGGCTGCAAAGAGCAAAGCCTTAAATTGGAGACTAAGAGTAAAGAAGCCTGACTAGATTAGAGCAATCCTGTTAGCCAATCCCTCCCTCCAGAGGGCAGGATATCAGGTCGTTGTCTGGTTCTGCCACTTATTCACCATGTGTGGTCTTGGACGAGTCATGCAGCATCAGCTTTGGTTTCTTCACCCATCTCATGAAGTTAATACTAGTAACTCACAAGGCTTTTGTGAGCATCAATGATACACCACACAAATGATCTGATGACCTTACACGCCATTGCTAAATCACGAAAGGGATGCCTCAGAAGGAGGTAGGAAACACCCTGGGTTCCATGTAAGCAGAAAAACAACTCCTTCCAGATGCATAAGCAGCCTGATCACCATTTTACTGAGTTCATTTGCAAAGTTGTGTGCTAGGCCCCAGAGTTACAACTCTTCCTCCAAGATTGCTCAAACCACTTTGACTGTGACACCTTTGTTGAACTCCAACCTCCACACACCTGTGTAGGCATGTGTGCCATTGCTTTGGGATTCTTTTTTGAAAGGGAGGTTACACAGTGGTGAGAAGCCAGAGCTCTGTAGTTAGGACTGGAGCCCCAGCTCCAGCACTTAAAAGTCTTGTGACTTTGGCAAAGCTGCCTAACCTCTCTGTGACTCAGTTCCTTCATCTGTAAAAATGGGACATACCTAATAGAAAAGCATTTAGTACCAGGGCCTGTCACACAATATTCAATAAGTGCTGATGATTATTAGTTGAATAAATGAATTATTTGTTAAATGAATGGTTGATTGATTGAGTACATTTACACCTCAACTAGACAGAGAGCAGGCTCCTTGATTTCAGGGAACTGTCAATTCATTTTTAGGTTAATGACACCTAGCACTGTGCCTGGCACAAAGTAAGTGCCCAATAAATGATGAATGAATAAATGGGTGAATGAATGAAAATCTGGCCCTGTCTCCAAGGAACCTTCTATCACATGGAGACAGTGCTAATTAAGACTGTTTTAGTTGCAGATAACATAAGCCAATAATAGAAAACTTAATCAAGAAAGGCAGATTTATTGGAACTGTCCTCAAGATAGGAGAGTGTTGGGACCCAGAAAAAAAATCCCAAAATTCAGCAATGAAAATTATAGACCTTCCTCCTAGCATCAAGTTACTTCTGAGGTTTAGCTCTCAGCAGCCTACAACTTTCACATTCTCTAGGTCAAACTGAATTTCTTTTGATTTTTTATTATTATTATTTTTATTTAATTTATTTTTTTTAAATATATCTTTATTGATTTCAGAGAGAGGAAGGAAGAGGGAGAGAGACAGAGAGAAATATCAATGATGAGAGTCATTGATCGGCTGCCTCCTGCACGCCCCCAACTGGGCATCGAGCCTGCAACCTGGGCATGTGCCCTGACTGGGAATCAAACCGTGATCTCCTGGATCCTAGGCCGAAGCTCAACCGCTGAGCCATGCCCGGCTGGGCGAGGATAGCACTTTTAAAAGGGATGAGCACATGAAATCATAAAAATCCTGGAAGAAAACATAGGCAGTAAAGTCACAGGCATCCCACGTAGTGGACTTTTCACTGATACATCTCCTAGGGCAAGAGAAACAAAAGAAAAAATAAACATATGGG